CACCCGAGAAGCACAGAATGGTGTTACAGAAAAGAGAGAGGGGAGAGAGGGAGGGAAATAAATAAGAGCAGGAATCTGGCAGCTCGGCAGTGCTCCGCAGCCGAGCCGGCAGCGCTGTGGGGGCCCAGGACCGGCTTTGTGCTGCCAGTGCTGCCCCCGAATCCCCCCGCAGGGCTGTGCCCGGCAGGGAGGGCAGGGCAGAAAACGCGGCCACAAAGTGCCCGGTCCTGAATGAAGGACACCCGGGCAGGAGCAGCAGGCTGGCAGCGGCACAGGGGTGGCCGGCAGAATCTCCTCTGGGGATAGGGGGCTGCATCCCAGCGTGCGCCTCCATCTTCTCCTGCGCCCTCACCGCCCGTGCCGGGAGCGCCGCGGCTCCCTCAGGGGTGCCCCAGGCCCGGCTCACTCTGCACCGAGCCCTCTTTAACGAGGCTGCAAAAGGAAAAATCCCTCACGACGAGCTCCCTTTTCGCGTCCTTTCTCAAGGGAAGGATGACCCACAACGGAGTCACAGCAGGAAAGGAGAGGCCTTGGGCTCGCCCGCAGGCCGCGGGTCAGCCCGACACGGTGACAGACCCGGCTCACAGGGTCACACAGCTCCACATCGCCCCCTCCTCCCCGCTCAGGTTTCGGCAGAGCCCAGCCTGCCACGGAGCACCATCGTGCCATGAGGGCGCAGCATGGCCGGACAGGCCTTTACGTTGTAGAAAGTGATTCGTAGAGTGGCAACGGAAACACCTGGCTCTTTTTACTGTGACTACAATAACCTTAGGTCAGTGATTCTCAGTTCTGCTTTTTCTTGCCTTGACGTCTCTGCAATTGCCTTGAAAACATCTGTTTTCTGCGGAGCTACAAGAAACATCCACCCCCGCCACCACCTGCCAGGCTCCTGGGCTCTGCAATTTGGAATTGAAAGCAACTGAGTCAAGGTGGAGGCTCAAAAACGTCGATTTCACACCAGTATCCTCAGAAGTCACAATAAATATTTTTTTAAAAAAAGCTGCAGAACTGCTCTCAGAGCTACAAGCCCTTGGAAGAGCAGCTGCAGCGTTTGTAGCTTGCCATGCAGAGGGTGGGGAGGACCAAAGGCCTGTCCGCTCCCCCTGTGGTGATAAACGGTGTTTCCTCCCTCTGCACTCCTACACAGACTGCCACAGCGACAACTCTTTTGCATTAGTCGAACGCTGTCAGGTTCAGGCAAAACTCAAAGGATTCTGTTAAATCGCATACGCACAGTGAAGGTTTAATGAGCTTCCTGTTGTTCCAGTGAAGTTCAAAAGTTGCAAAGTGAGTTTCTAAACTTTAAGGAGAGGTCCCCACGCTCCCGGGTGAAGCAGTGAAACAGCAGCTCCTGACGGACAGAGAGCTCGGGCCACCAAGCCCTGTGCAGCAGCCCTGCTCAATTTAAATACCACCGTTGTTCACGGTCAATTTTAATACTCAACCACCAGCCAGGGAATTAAGCTTCGGTAAATAGTAATTTTCAAATATCATCCATGCATCAAAACTCACCTCCTCCCCCCCCTCTTTTTTTTTCCTTCTCCAAAATAGTAGTATGTGCTGAGCACTCTGCAACTAGAAAATCTCATGGCAATACACACTCCCACCTTGTAATTACAGGAAAATGTACGAGGGAAGAAACGCAACAACCCCAAAACCATTCAGTTCTGGTTTTTACAGCTATTACAGCTAAACCCAGGAAGGGAAACAAACACCTGCGCTCTGCGGGAGCTTAGAAGTAGCTGGTGCAGAACAGTTACTTCTGCTGAAAAGTCTGAAATCCCCTTTGCTGGAGCTGGGGATGGAAGTGAGGTGAGGGAGGTTTTTTGGCTTGATATGGGCAGGGGAGCACAGGGCCCTCGCTCAGAGGAGCATCCATGACAGCTCCAGTCTGTGATGACGCAGGCACAGCAGTCTGGAAAAGTTCTGCTCATCCAGAGCCTGCCTAGCACCTGTTTGCCGTGGCCTCTTGCCCCCACACCACACCAGGGTCCTCCTGACCTCAACCCAGTCTGGCTTTCTGTTTTTCACACTTCAAATTGCTGGTCCTGGGACTATGAACATTTCTATCTATACACACAAAGCAAGACCAAATAGCCCCCAAACCAAGCCCCAATGAGATTTTGCTTGAATTCTGATATGTGGAAACCACAGAGAGATGCATGTTCTCAGAGCTCGCCTTCAGCTCTCCCCCTTAGGAGGCTGCACCGCTCAGCCTTGAAGGTTCCTGTTTTGATGAATTTATCGACCAGCTCTCAGTAAGCTCCTCTGGAAGACAGGGAAAAATGACATTGCCTTTCTCCTGGGCCAGTAGCGACCAGAAATGCTTTGGAAAGGACACTAAGCCATGTCAGAAGGAAAAGATGAAACATTTCATATTCCTTTAACTAAGCCAGCTGAAATGAATGCCAGTGCTCTAGCAAGGTGTGCACAGACAGGTGGACAGACCTACAGTGTCAAACCCTTGCCACGATTTGAAGGCAGCAGGCAAAGTCCCTCAGGGCTTCTTGAAGCATTAACTACTAAACATTAACTATATATGCAGGCATGGACATTTCTTTAAACAACAGACCACCACCAAGGCCAAATACTAGACCTCATTTGCATTAACTGAGCATTGATAGGGAAGTGTCTTTAGAAGAAGTAACTTTGCACCAATCTGAGTAATCAAGTAAACCTCACACACTCCCACCTTCTGAGTGCCTTTTAAAAACAGAGATCTTTGCAAGTATCCCCAAACAAGCTGTTCTCATTTCCCACCTTCCCAGAAAAAACAGCTGCAGCACTTCGCTACCTCTGAAAAAATAGACAGCAGAGAGCTTTAGTGTCACCCATACCACTGGAGATGTGATCAAGGTGATCACATCCCTCCTCCTTCGCTGTAACTGCACCATTACACCAAACATCTCACAGAGAACTCGACAGCAAAAGGGTGAGGCAAAAGCTGCCTCCCCGGCCTTGGTTTTGTCCGTACAGTTAATCAGAGCGGCATTTACACACCAAACAGGTATCTGCCTCTCACCGTTCCTAAGCAACGACACCGACTACTTAGGGGTGAGTTTGTCAAATCAGTCCCTGAAAAGCTTAAAGGGATCTTGGGCAGGGCAGGAGGGAAAGTCCTTGCCTAGCTCCATGCAGGACTGACTTCACCAGCACATCCTCTCCCACCCTGGTGATTTTACAGCAACTTTTTGTCAATGCTGTGTGATTCTGGCTTGCAGGCAACAGGGCCAAGGATGCTCTGGTCTGTTAAAAAACACCACCTCTCCCAGGAGAGCAGGGCAGGAGCAGGGCACAACACAAACCATGCCAGCTGGGAATGGGGAAGATTTTTTGGCCAGAAAGACAGCAGTCACAAACGGCATGCTATGAACACACCAATGAAGGTTAAAACCTTCTTCCCCTCTGTTGTTGCCAACATCATGTAAGAGCAAAGGATAAAACCCATTCTGACCCAGAAAATAATATTTTTCATCTGCTATCCCCCTTTCAGAAAATATACATCACATCAACATCTGGGTTTCTGTTTCCCTTGGGACATCCATTCTTTTCATTTTTCCATACTACACTCACTTTTACACAATGTAAAGAAACATAACCAAAAAAAGTCCCTGCAATAAACTGCTGTTTTCTCTGGGACACCCCTGCACATGCTGGTTAAGCCAACGACAACACGTGCTACAGGGGTGAGCAGCACTGCTTTAACAACCAAACCCGCTGTGGAAAGAAAGCAAATAGCACAGCAACACAAGGTCAACTGATCCCATATTCACTGTCCAGTGCAGCACTTCACATTTGGAAGTGGATCCCAAATTTCCTTCCATTAGCAGCTAGCCATCATACAAGCTTTGTTCTAGGTAACAAATACACCACACAAGGATTTATGACACACCAAGCTGCTTGGCTCTTTTATGTGAGAATAGAAAATAACATTTAAAGTTCTGGTACAAAAAGTTAACCGAGATCAGTCTCTCCCACCTGTACAGTCTGTTCCAGGCAGGTAAGAAACAAGTGTTAGGACAAAGCCCCTTGCAGAACAAGTCTGAGTAGAAGCAGGGAAGAAACCTCAGAAGGAAATGCTAAAGAGAAATGGGAAACAAAGAGTTTCTCAAGTTGCTGGAGCTTTAATCGGTGTTAAAATAAAGCACAAAAGAGAAACCCCCAAACCTGGCTGTCATCCCCAAGGACCCAGCTTCCTGAAACTTCTTTTTCAACAGTCAAATTCAACAAAGGACTTTCCTGATTTCCCATATTTTATTTACTATATTACTTCTGTTTAGGAAGCCCTTTGCTTTGCATAGCAAATCAGCTGTGTTATTTACACTATGCTCATCACCAAGATCCAAGTGTCCTGTAAAGTACATTAACAGAAGTCAGCAAAATCTGACGCCACACAGAATTTTATTTTTCTGTAATTAGTCCTCTCAATTATAATATTCATTCCATGGTGAGTAAGGCCGGGATCAGCATAATCTCCTAATATATTATTAAATCAGTTTTGCCAAGAAGGAATCATATTATTGATTTTTTACACCGCTGGAGTAACTGTTCAACCACAGTTGTGTACCAGTAGTTCAGCAGTAACACGATGTTCAGTTTCTCAAAGCACCATCTGCATTAATAACATTCATTCTCAGTAGCATATTTACAATATGATATTGCTCTCTTCATTTAATTTACAAAAACCTTCATGAACAATACGGATTAATTCTGCAGATCCCTTCTCATCACCTGTCTGCAGCAATAGGATTCAAATTCCCTGAAGTCACCTACTTCAATTCCACACTCCCTGGCCTAGAAGACCTCCCAGCTGCCCTGAACTGGCAGCTTCTTGCTCCTCCTCACCCCATTTCCAGGATGCAGATGCTCCCATGGCTCACATCCCAGCAGCAGGGCTAAAACAAAGGTTCCATCCAAGCAATTTCTTTACCAAGAAAGAGGCGTACAAAGATTTCCTGATCTTTTACTAGGGAGTCTCGTCTTTTACCAAAACTACAGTCAAATGCCTTATTTAAAAGCCTTATTCCAAGTTAAAAAAAACCTGTGCACACTGGAGGGCATTCTGAGAGTCCTTGAGCACTTCCACACCGATGCCAGAAGTGACACTCTCACTGCTGGCACAGCAGATTTGTGGAAACAGAGGAACTCCTCTGCTCCGCAGTACGTTTCTTCCACTAAGGAACGGTGGGACTGTGGAAAGGCAGTGGCTATGACCAACATCATGGCTTGGGCTCCACCTTACTCCAAGTTCTCTCTCATCCCCCTCTTCTTCAGGATTTTCTAGGATTGCTCCCCACTCCCAAAGACCAAGAAAACCCAATCCCCCGTTTGCACGTCTAAGAGAAATCCCAGCTCTATTGCTGTCCCTCTGTGCCTTCCACACATCCCACTTGTACTCTTTCCTCCTTGGGGCCTGCAGCCTTCCCAGGCATCACTAAGATGCTTCAGTGGTCAGTGGCAGCCACCACAAAGATGTCCAGCTTGAGCATGAATACTTTGTTGGCAGTAACTCTCCTTTACTCTCCAGATGGTCCACCTCACTGGTCTCACAACTTTCTATGACTCCATGTGCACTCAGAAAGACAAAAAATTACACAAATTGTTTTGCTGTTGTTGTCGGGTTTTTTGTAAAGGCTTCGTTTTTTTTTTTTTTTTTTGCTGCCCATCAGCACTGTCTCAGCATATTGCACAATGTTTATTATAAAAAAAAGTCTTCTGTATCAGGCAGGAAGAAAGAAAATTTTCTCAGGAGGCTAATGTGTACTATTGTCTGTAATTAGAGGTAAGTGGTTGCTTGTGTGGCCATCAGAAAGTGGGACCTAGTGAAACAAAAACAAGGTGTTATTAATGGCGTGTTCACAAACAGAATCTCCACTCCCTTCCCCCAAAAACACAGACTTTGGCATTTCTTGGATGTCTTTTACCTGGTCTCTCATACAACAATTACTCAAATGTGGTTGCCTTCCCTCCTCCTCTCCCTACTCACATAACCTTGCCAGCTGGCAAACTTCAACCAAATTTGAGAGAAATGCAGAGGTCTCAAAGGCTGTCTACAGGCTTAAATTGCAAAAATAAAAGTAAAATAAAATCAAGTAGTTGCTAGAGGAGCAATCCTATTAATGCCCAATGAAGGGAAAGGTGAAGACAGCTCAGCTCTTTCACAGTGCTTGGCAGTAGCCTGCAGACTGATAAAGAGCACCACTGAAGCCCTGCAGCACACAGTGTGTCTTCTTCAGTCTGCAGGCCAAGTAGAAGAAAATGTGAAACCAAAACCAGGACAGGGAGAATGACTAGGCCTGGAAAAACATGTCATTTTTGGAGCAATATGAATAAAAAGAATAAAAATAAAAATAGTAAGGACGATGGAGGGAGTGCAGAAGAAAAACCTCTAAGAGACTCAGTTGCATTAATTCAGCTTGTTGGAGAACACCTTGCTTCTTTACATTTTAGGTTTTCTAACTGTTTTTAAAAGCTGTCGAATCTCTGCTCTTATGCATGTCAAGGGGAAGGTTTATTACCAACATCTTAAAACTTCCTGAGGCCAAGTCCCTGACCTTATCATCCATCCTCAGCTGTACAACTTACTTAACACTTAGAAAAAAGTTTTCCTTACCGATGTGGATTTGTAAGAGCCCAGCCTGAAACGGCAAAAAATAATTTCTGCTACAAATCTTCCAAAGCCATGTAAAATTCCTGCAATGTCAAACAAGATTTAAATTGTCATCAGTAGTAAAAATGTATTATTTATGGAAGCATTACAACAAAACTCTACATAGAACATAGTGCAGTAAACCCGTACATAAGACACTGAGAAGTTAACACACAAAAAGGAAACATCAAGGGCAGGGGAGAATTCTATGAAATGCATTGAGAAAAGCAAAGCTATCCAAGTAAATGTCACCCTCTGCCAGCTTTCATGGGTGAAAATACATTCTGTGGGACAGAAATATCTACTTTGAAAGGCAGCTCTTAGTTCAAGGTCTCTTTAATAAAGCTCTCTTCAAATGAGAACCAAGAAAAGAAATTACTTGTGATCAAGACACCCTATTATGTCTTGACTAGTAAGTGGATTGTGGCTTTTCAACTTATTTTCTTTGAAGGAGAAAATCCTGCAGTACGCTGACAACGAAAATCCTCCCAATTACTTCTGATGGAAATTTTATCTCAACTTTTGTTACTGATTTAACAGTGGATCTCAACTAAAGGAACTGCACAGAATATAAGAAGTCAGTATGTATGTGTGTAGAAGTCTGTATATATGTGTGTACATATATATACACACACAAACACAGATATATCCTTGCTCTTCCAGAAGTAAATAAACTATGCTGTAGTTACCAGAAAGGAAACAACAGGCTCTCAGAACAGCAGAAGTACCACACTGGGACACTGAAACTGAGTAGCTCTCATGGCACATTTCAGTGCACACAAAATGAGCACTTCATCTTAAACCTGCCAGAGGTTCAGGACTCCCCTGTAATTTATCCATAACAGTCACAATGAAAAGAAAACCAATTCTGATAGAATCTAAGAGGGAAGGCTCTGATAATCACCTGTAGTTGAAAAAATTCCCCCAATAATGCCACAGAGCCTCACTAAGAACTGCCAAAAAGGCATGTGTTCTTCTGTCACTGTCACCATAAGTGAACTGATATCGTATTTCATGAATATTCCTGACACCCCATGGCTGCCAGCTGCATGGTTAATTACTCTTTCCTGAAAGAAAAGAGAGAAACACAAGTTAGTCACTTGTTGTAAGTCACAAAAAAACCAGTCTTATTAGATGTGATAACAAAGAGCTGTTTAATCAGAGTTAGCAATCAACAGAAGACTAGGGAACATCAAGGTAACTTTGACCATTACCTTCTAAATGTCAAACATCATTAAGTAAAAGTTTTCTTTCCTGGTCACTGAGCTTCTGTGCTGCATATCAGTGTTCACTATCATGCTCTGGTTCTTTCTCCCAAGACCTGCCCACATGGTCCTTTAAAGAAGGATGTTTATAACTGGACTGTTTTTGGTACCTATGAGGGTAAGTGCCACAGTCTTGGTCTGGGGACTGCACTGCTATAACAATGTACTGCAACTCTTCACACTTTATCCACTACTATGAATGACATCAGACCTTCAGGAGACATTCACGTTGTTGTACAGCCTTAGCTACAGCAGTTTTCCAAGAGGGTGTATATAAATCATAGAATATCAGGTTGGAAGGGACCACGAGGACCTTCCTTGGTAAAAGCCTCTTTTCAAACCTTTTGTCAGTGACATCATTTCAGAGAAGTCACACAGCAAGAAATGCACCTCAATAAACAGAAACCCCACACTCACTGGGACTACCAGGCACCTTAGTCCTAATCCAAGAACTTCTACAGTTTCTTCTCATTTGGTCAAATTCTTATACCAAAAGACCCCAAACATGAGAGTGTGGCTGCTACAAATACCTACTTTTTAAAAAAGGTTTCAGAAGGAAACACCTGAACACAGCCTTAAGGTTCTTTCAGAAGTTTGCTGTCCTTTTGTTGTTAGTGAAAGGTGTTGAAAAATGAACTGCCAGGTATGTCTGACTGAAAATATACAAGGGCAGCAGAAAAGAACATAATTGACTGAAGACAAACTCAGCCATGCCCAAGTTAATAAGAACAGAGAAGACAAGACAAGCAGGAGTGAACAAAAAAGCAATATATCACAGCTCCATTTCATTTGTAGATTTAACACTGTGCTCAAAAACCATGCAGCATACAGTACAAAATAAAAAGTAGAATAGCACTTTGTTGAGGTAGCAGAAAAAGCAAGCTGGTTTGTGTCAGTGTTAACTGACTGAACAAGTTGCCTGATCTGTATTTTTCAAAGTAAAAGAAGTCAAAATAATGTATCAGTAATGATACCAGGTCACAAAAACTTTGCAATGGTTAAATAATAAAATGTAGAATGTTTTCCATATTTCAAAAGCATGACAACAGACAGCAGGCAAAGATGGATGATGAGGCACACTAAGAAGGAAGAGAAGACTGAAGGTAGTTTAACAACCTTGCCATTGGCAAGGGACACAAAAGCCTTTGTCCTGTTTGTTTTCCTCTGTTGTTTCCCTAAGCCTTACTGGTCTTTTGAGGTTCAAATGGTAAAAAAAGAATATGAAGTTAAATAGAACACACAAAATTCCATCCTCAAAAGATACAGAATTCTTTTTCTGCAAACCATTTTGGTCTGCTTCCAGCTTCTACTGCTGCAGATTCAACTTTTGATTGCTAAAACCTGCTGAAAATAACTAACCCTGCATCAGATAGCTCAGTGAAGCCTTGTAGAATTAAATCTTTTCAATAAAGATAAACACAGTATCTCAAACACCAACAATAGTGGAGATGATTCTACCCACAACTTTCAAATGCTCTTTCCTCATCTGCTCACCACTGGTAATTAAACCTCACTGCATTCAACTTCTAGCCTGCCTGACCACCTTTTTCCACATCTGCATATGTGTCTACTCTTATAAAATAAATGCACTAAGTTGTTCAGTGAATAGCTGTTCTTAATAGCCTTTTCCAGCTTATCTGCTAGGAATATTTGGTGTCCTAAGATTAACACAAATAAGCTTTATAGGGCTACCTACTGAGCAAGAGCAAACAAGTACATAATGCCACTTTACCTCTGCTATTCCAAGCTTTTCCACTAAGCAACCTGTGGCTGTTGCAACTTTCATAAAAATAGACTCCCACCAAAAAAAAAAAAAAAAAAAAAAAAAAAAAAAAAAAAAAAAAAAAAAAAAAAAAAAAAAAAAAAAAAAAAAAAAAAAAAAAAAAAAAAAAAAAAAAAAAAAAAAAAAAAAAAAAAAAAAAACACCCTAACTTAGACTGGACAGGTAATTGATAGTACCATCTTTACAGAAGGAGGAGAGAAAAACTGAATACAAGGTTAAAAAAAGGAAAAATGTCTAAGACAAACTTATGGATGTCAGTGAAGAGCTTAAAGAATGCCTTGGCTCTTGCAGAGATTGTGCAGAGAAAACACAAAGCAGATTGCTAGACCAGCAGGAGGTGGGAGTATACTGCACTATGAAATTCCTCTTCATTCCTCTCTGTAGCTCAGCTTTCATGAGTTTCAGAGTAAACCTTTCCCTTCAGTGGTCTGCATGTCCTAAGACATCACCTCTATCCTACTTCCCCTACCTATGTATTTTTCAGAAGCACAACATGGAATTGTGAGGAAATAAAAAATTTTTCTCCCTTAGAGAACACCACAAGCTGTAATTCAGTGAACTGCCAACCTAATCCCCAAATTTCCTTTCACCCCAAGGCTTCTTTCTCACCTCTTGCTTTATCTGTCATTTTTAATTAAACTTTTTACCAAGATTTTTCTCTTTGGCTTTTGAATACAAGACCAAAATCAAGTTCAGTCTCTGAAAATAAGACATGTAAGCAGTACACTCAAGGCTTTTTTCCTATTCACAGCAGTCTTTAAAATTAGTATGCTGGTATGCTGCACTAACTACTTTCAGTATGGATTCAGAATTAAATGCCTCTCCAGACCCAGAAGTGGAAGCTCTCTAGTCTTGAGAGTAATTAAAACTGATGGTTTAACAAAGGTTAAACAAGACAGCTGAGACATTTACTGTGTGATTAGTTTTTCATACAAACTACCTTTCTTTCCATTTCTTACACTTCACAACCAAATTCTTGATATTCAAGTGAGCTGCATTTTTTTGTTTGCTTCCCACATGGATAAAAAGCTAACGGTAGATTAAATATTTGTAAGGCTACACACTAGGTTACAGACCTAACGCTTGGAGGATTTCACCAATACCACTATTAGCATACAGGGAAGTGGATAATAATCAGACTCCAGATCTACAAATGCAAAACACTAATGCAAGAAGTCTGCATGTGTCACCAAGCATATATATATTTTACCATCAGCCATAATTGTATGATTTACAGACTAATCCAGTGTACTAGAATGTTCTACAAAGAATCACTTCATGCTAGAGGAATTTTCAGAACCACGGTACAACCAAGCCTGTTTTCACATTTGAACTTCTGTTATGAACAACCACTTCTATATTTTTCTCTCCGTGTTTTTTTATTACTTCTACTTACCCTTTCTGTCACTGAGAATTGATGAGTTTCTGCTGAAATTTTATACGTATGGAGTTTGGTTGGCACAACTGTGATAAAATACTGGAACATCTGGTTGTCTAGAAGAAAAAACATCTCACTGTTGAATCAAGTCAAAGACCATCTGAGACATTCACAAATAAATCAAAGAAATTATATTAAAACAGTTAATCAGCTAAGCCATTTACACTAGGGACATTCTTCCATGAGTCCCAGCCCCGCCAAGACTACTTCAGCACCATCTGCACGAACAAAGTTAGTTTCCATGGAAAAGGCATATGTCTCCCTTGTACTCCCAGAAATTTATATTTTACCCCTGTAATGAAAAGACTCATTAAGGTCAGGCCACTCAAAGTTTCAAATGAAATGCAGAGGTGGTGTTTTCTAGGGCACTAGAGCAAGTTTCACACTGTCATGTTTTTCATGGTACATACACATCTCACAGTGGTCTCAGTAGATTGAATTTAGTACACAGGAAGTATCTCAGTAGATTGAATTGTATACAAAATGCCGGAAGCCCTTCTAAACTGGTTATGGTTTTTCTGTCGATTAGACTTCTGGAGAATTCTTGACCAATCAGCAATACTGTGCATTTATCATTGCTCTGTGCATTCCCTAGAGAACAAACACCAACAGACTGAAGCCGTTTGTTTCACCTACACTAAACCATTCTGGCTGTACCAGCCAAGGCACTGGCTCTGGGACAACAGCAGCTGTAGAAGGTTCTGGGGATCACTCACAGGGAACGCCACTGAGAGGATGAGGCAGGTTATTACTCTCCTTTATTTATACAGGAGGAAACAAAGTGATACACAAATCCATCCTGTAGTAGCCTCACAAAACACACTGTGGGAGGGACAACCCAACTGCAGGAATAGAATCCATGTCTCATGGTGCTATTTTTTTAAATTAAATCAAACTTATTTTTCCCCATTATGACGACAATCAGATCTATGATTCTGCACTGTAACACACTCCTGCAAAACTCTTTGCAGTGTGTTCAGACATACTTCAACTTCAACATAACGCAAACCTGGAAAAACTGCAAATCACCTTCAGGGAAGCAGCAGAGTACAGTGATGCAGATATTGAAAAGAAGTGGCCATTTAAATGTCACGTAGATAAATTAACAGGGCATTGCTTGCTACCAAATTTAGTCTGACATGCTGCTTATGAATCACAACGTTCATGAAAAAATTATAACACTTTAAATGTAACTACTGGGAAACTATAGAAAAGATGATGCTTTCTTAAACACACAGCACTTACGATCAGACGCGATTTTTTCTGTTCCATCCAAAGGATTAATAATTCCTGGAATAAGCTCTCCAAATGACAAATGATCTATTCTATGGGAGAAGTTATAGGCTGAAAGATAATACAGATAAATAAAATATTTTTAAACTATGAGATTCTGTACTTGGAGAAAAAAATTCACCCATTTCTCACACTGAAATATTCTAATGAATGCATTTACCAAACATGACATTGTATTTGTGCCTGTGACTGCACCAATATATCTACACATGCTTCAAAGAAAACTCAAATCCAAAATATTTAACAAAAAAGTTAAATTTCTCTAGAAAAGAGCTCTAAACTAAATTACTACTCTATTTTAAACAATTCTGGAGCTGAACAGTTATAATTTGATGACATGGAATTTCTAGTTGGCCAAATACTTAAATTATTCTATAATTCAGGTTCTTGTATGCAATGGCATATAAAAAACCCTAAAATTTCATAAATCAACTTTACAGAGGAAGTATAAGGCAGTTTCCAAGATACTATGCTGCCCGATTTTACAACAATATTTAAGATCTATAATACAGTTGTGTTAACATAAATTCATGGGCAGACACCTGGAGGTTTAAGCAACCTTTACTGGTTGCACCAGGTTAATTTTTCACACTAAGTCACCTTTGTCTCACATTAGGTAAGGCAGCAACACACCTTTAGTATCTAGGCTCATAATCCAAAAGGTAAGTTTCTAGGTACAAAGATCAGAAACTTTTAACCTTATAAAAAAGATTTTTCAGGAAATAGGTACTTTGGACTGAAATACAGGAATTTTACATGGAATCTGTGTTACAACAGAGTACATCTGAGATTCCTGTGTTATCATTACTGTAGAAGCAACCTAAGGATAGTCCTTATAGTGTTATATGTTACATGTATTACATTTTAAACATGTGTTACACCTATAAAAGAAAGTCACTACTGAGTCAGATCACTGCAGAGAATATTCTTCACATTTTTTACAATGCAATTGCACAGCTAGAACATCTTTTCAACGGCAACTTCACATGAATCAGGAGAAAGCAGTCTGACTGAAATGATCCATGTCCATATGGAGATGGCAGGAGGAACTTACACTCATGGCTTACAAGGGCTGCCAAGTGTGCATGGCCTCGAGGGTGTGGTATTGCCCTAAAGAAAGCAAGAAATGTTTTATGAATCCACACTGGACTATGTAGAAAAATTACCTTTACTCCTCTATTTCAATAAATACTTTATGTATATATAAAATATGTATATATGCACATATGTATAACATAAATGTGCTTAAATACATGTAATATATGTGTGTTTTAGAAACTGATATCTATAAAAATTGAGTATATCTATAAAAACCCCAAAGATGACAGTTTTATTACTGCCAAGTACAGACAGCCTGAACAGTAAGGTACAGAAAACTTGGACTCAGAAAAACCCTCTTACACAAAATTGTCTTTCATTTTTAGAAATATCAAAACCACATCAAGTGTGCTATTAGAAAAGTCACCAAGTCCTACTCCAGAAAAAAATGCAGAACAGTTCAAGTGACAAACAAAAATTTGACCATATTTGTTCCACAACCAAGTAAGTTAAGTGCACTCTGCATTTGCTCCCTGACAAAGCCAGTTTCAAGAGTTTCCATCCTTTAAGACATGGAATTCATAACAACCACATTACATGCAACAATGCACTGCACTGCATTGTCTCAGTAATTTATGAAGAAATTTAATTGTGCAAGAAAAGGTATCACATTGAAAAAAAAATCAAGCATGAATATAAAAGGTTAATAAAAAACAGTCATTAACCCTGAAATATAAAAGCACAAGCACATATATACATACATGCACTATACAGAATGTAGAAGTCAAGGGTTTTTTTATTTTCAGGAACTGAACAGAACATACTTGCCCACAGTTATGTGAAAGTTCCCTGCCACTTTATTGACATAGAGATGACCATGAATTCTGCATGCATCTGGAGACTGCAATGAATTATCCTCCCTGTTTAAATAAAGACAACATTGAGAGTACTTGAGAATATTCACTGTCTAGCAGAAATAACAGCAGTACAGTTAGATTTCCTTTTTCTAGCATAAATATAGAGCATTATCATCTACCTCTCCTTATTGTAGTCCTCTGGAATGATAACAGAGATGTGGAAGGGAAGGAAAATAGTAAAGGTCAGTTTGATGAAACCAATAAGCTTTCATCCACACTTGTATTCACAGATCTGGCCTGCACTGCTGGCCATGTCAGCAGAACACATAAGACCATAAGTATATCTTGTTGCTCTGGAGATTTTTATTTTCCCACTTACTTCCACCAAAAGTGGCTTGTTGGGAAAGTTTTAATGCTACAATGAACAGAATCAAATACATTTTGGTCCCATTAACAACACTGTAGCAAGTAGAGCTTACAACAGATATTTTTTAGGAAACCTTCCTATCCCCACTCTTATTGGGGTGTCCACAACTCAGAAGGTATCTCCAAATCTGCTCCTTAGAGGGAGATGAATGATTTTTTTCAATACATCTCAAGCATAAATACCACTTCAAATACTGCACTAACAAGTAACACAGAAGCAAAGGAGAACTTAATTAATCTGAAGACATCAAGTAAATGAGGAATAAAAACAAGATTTTTTGAGTCATCTTCAGGCTCACCTTAGGAAGCAAAAATGTATTTCGTCCTCAGACATGGAGATGACAACATGAAAAGTCAGGCAGTTTCAGTGTTTGTTTTGTCTTACTCAATTTTTTTGTTTTAGTGGGATTTCGGGGGGTTTTTTGTGCTGGTTGTTTGCGTGTTTGTTTTTAAGGGGAGAGAATTTCAGCTTTCATTTAGAAAGTGTTTTCCCTTGGGGAAAAAAAAATTTTAAAACCATATAGCATTTAGACTCAGGTAGACCAAGCATTCCATGCATTAGTCTCTCAACATTTGTGGGTAGTTGGAATAAAGTGAAAATAGCAAGGCTTCTCCACACAGCCTCAACTATGCTATTTAGACACAGGAATTTACTTACAAAACACATTTGCACTCAAAGGTTGATTCTTTTAAAACTGTGAAGCTGTAAGTCACACCTAACAGCAGCAATGTTTTTAAAAGTTGCTGAACAGAAAGACAGTTTAAAAAAAAAAGACTCGTTTAGCACTGCTCTGGCATTACTAGTTCCCATTAAGAAGGAAGCATCAGAAAAAATGGAATAAAAAAAGTGTGTGCATATTTTTATTTGTGTGTCAGTATACACACAAAACCTGGAAACTTTCTCCAGACTGGAAACCCCAGAAATTTTCATAAAACAACAGCTCTTAAACTGTATCAGGCAAGTATCAAGCATACAATTTTAAAATGCATTCAAAAGCAGTGAAATCTTCTTTTCTTACAATCTTGTCTTCTGGCTGCAGGGGGGGGATCATAACCACAACAAAATGTGAAGCCTAATTAATGGGGGGGGGAGGTGGAATAATGACCCAAAATCCCAGTTTTTCTTACCGTGGTGGCAGTGATGTAGAACCACTTTTAAATGCACTTTTGAATATCACATCTTGAAGAGAATGTTCTTCCTGCAGCCTACTCTGAATTAATTGCAGCATCCTAAAGATCAGAGACAAGTGTGAAAGCACGCAACAATAAAACAAAATCTGGCTTCACAATTAATTATTAGCTTCAGCTGCAGGTTGCAAATCAAGAAGTTAGCGAAGTTGATGTAAGCATTAAAGCATTAATTTATTAGAAGTACTAATGCATAACTTTTGCATTACTTTATTAGAAGTATTAAAGAATTACTTTGAGAATTATGTTTTATACAGAATTTGAAGCTCAGGTGTTCCCAGCAGCGTGTTACCAAAATACCAAAACTAGCCAGACTCCCAAATAAGTTTCAGTTCTATTACAGGACTATCAGTGTATGGGGCACACATAACACCAAGGTATCACAGTTTAAATGATGAACAGTGAGTCAATTCAGTTATATGAATGACTCAAATGAATGACTCCAGCTCAGCTTGGACATTTAGATATCTGTTTTATACATTTGATACTATAATTATAACTTGTGCTACCAAGTACTCATTTGGAAATACAAGCTGAGTGAGTCCATACATCTTGGCTTGGAACTGCACGACCCAATTCCACAGGTAAGTCCAAAGCCCATTTTTTTCCAGAGGTATCAAATAACGAGAAAAGCAAAGTAAGTTAGTATCTTTTCACAGGTCTGCACTCTTAAATTACAAACAAGAGTTGATGGACCCAAGACTTAGTTGTGTCATGTGACTCTAGTGTACCTCCAAAATACTTCCAGCACAAATAATACAAGCCGTAAGCATGCATCTCAGTGGTTTACCTTTGCAATTCTTTTTGTTGTGGGGTGAGATCAAACGCTACCTGAAATAAAAATAACACCTCTAATAAAACACAGAGAAAAATTCCCTTCCAGGAAACCCAGAAGAAATTTGGGGTGTGGGAAGGGGTAGGGAGTTATAATCAACTTCACACTTAGTACTACTAAAGGAGTTTATGAAAGGACTTTTCACTTTAAATAATACATTTAGTGTTTAAGTATAAAAATTTCTGTCCCTTTCAACCCAGAATTATTCACTTGCTTGCATTTATAACTACGGCATCTTTTCCTAAACCTTTCCTACCTCGAGTCAGCAGTCACCTTCTTACCTTTGACTATCAGGGACTAGAAGCAATGAGCAGCAATTTAATTCTAAGGGATTTGCATGGCTTTGATGCCAACAGCAGTAAAACAAGCAGAGGAGCAATCCTTGAAAGACAAGGGTCCAGGTGCAGATTGTTTATTCCAAGGGTCATCCCACATCAAGCACTAAAGACAAGCTACCAGACCTGCTATACTTCATCAGCACAGGAGACCAGTAACCTCTGTGCAGGGACTTCAAATCTAAGTATTGGTTAACACTAATGTACTCCAGGCAGCAAATTCAATTGCAATTAATGCTCAAACATACCCAGAAGCTATGGCCAAAAGAGATCAACTGCAGAAAGTTTCCTCTTTCTAAGAGGTTGAAGACAAAAAAACCACAAGCATGCAAATCAGACCGGTAGTGCTTCACACCAGGAGCAATTTGATTTTCAAATAAAAAAAAGGTAAGAATCAACTTACTGGCTCATAGATTAGCCCATCTGCAGAGGCAACCATTGTTTCTGCTAAATCCAGAACATCAGCCCCCACATCTATTGGAAACAGAGAGAAATATTAAGTCACACAGATGATCAGAGAACAATTAAAAAAAACCCTTCTAAGTTGAAATGAAGTTTCACAGTCCATTGGTAAACGTCAGTATGTCACTGTTTCTTCAGCCTATCTAACCTTCAATATGAACTGATGCACAGTGACCAAAAACTCTTCAGATTTGCAGTATTTTCTCACTGATGTAACACCTACAATGATGCTGTATGAACCACACATACAAGCTTTCTAGGATCTGCTATGCATAAATATTTTCTCCTGTTTTGCAAGCACTGAACAGAAACCAAGACTAATCAAAAAAGAGGAAAAACTTTTTTTTATTTAAAAAAAAAAAATACAGCAATCTACCATACCATTACTGCAAGGTTTAAGCTAGCCAAAAAAAGTGACTCCTGAAAATTTGTTTGCATTCATGGTAGAAGTACTATTTTCTCTCTTTCTTGGTACAGGACAAGCAAGACTAGTCCATACAAATAATGGTTCATTTGCTAGATTATGTCAAAATAATAGTAAGCATTGCCTTTAAATAGGAAGGCATCCCTCATGTGTTCATGAGGAGGATGAAATTACTCGATGGTTTTGGTATTGTTAAACAGTAGCCCAAGTTAATACATCCCAAGTTCATAAATAAATAAAAGTTGTTAAAAATTCCTGCTGCTGAGCTGTGTCTCACAATGAGCTTTTAGAATATTCCAGCAAGAGAAAGATTGGAACAGCAGATCCTTTTCTTGCTGACAGACAAAGCAAAGTTCTGTGAGATGCGAATGAGATGGCACAGATACTTTTCTTCACATCTCTTCCCAATTTTTTCAGTGAGTCATAAGTCATCAAGATCACTACATGCCATCAAGATAAGAAGAAATCACACTGGTAGAATAATCTGAACAATATCCAACTCTATTGCAAGCAAATGCATACTCTGAAGAGGCCTTAAAATGTTTCAAAACTTTTACTGATGGAATACTTACATTGACACCTCATGGCAACTGTAATATCAATATTGATTCTTAATTTACTAGAAAGGAAAAAAATAGCAAAAAGCTATTAAGTCACTTGGAGTACAAGTATCAAGAAACATACTGCTAAAAATATCAGAGTACTTGCAGAAACACAAATAACAAACTTTACACCAACAAATATAAATTTAATCAGTTTAACATTGAAGTGAAGCTAGATGGACTTCTGGAGCACATTAAAGCACCCATGAGTTAACCTCCATCTCACCAAATCTGAGTGTGTGGCATTCCCATACATTCTGGGCATTTCCTATAGATTTTCGTGTTTGTTTCACAAAAGCAATTTAAATTACAATTAATAAACCCCTTCCCTACAGTCACACGGCTCTATTACCTCCAGGAAGCTGCTTGTGAAACTTAGCTGACCACAAGCAAATCACGTAAGCAAGGGATTCCACAGTGGCTCAACTTGGGATCAGAGAGGGTCAGCAGAGAGGAGAGAAGCAGTTACACTGATACCAGTCTCCATTGGTTTAAACTGTCAAGAACCACAGGCTGAGTGATTAGCCCACAATCAAACCAGGAAATCTGTGGTAGGCCATCTCCCAAATCCCATAATAGTCTCTTAACTGACAGACTACCCTTCCCATGTGATAGCTTTGCTGGGGATATAACCTACTTTAGCAAAGGCCTAACTGTGAATCTCCCATCTGTCTGAATGGATTTCCTTCAGTTTTTGATGTAGCTCCTTTAAATTTTTCATATCTTTTTCATTACAGAACTCTTAGTTATTTCTGATGCACAAGACATCCAATTAATACATGTATCTTTAGCTTGTTACCACAGCAACTAGTCAAACATCTTATAAAGTTATTTCAGTCCCAGACGTGTGACATTTAAAGGTGCTCACGGCACAGAATCTGCATTTACTTCACAGGGACTCCATGGGTGCCTGACCACTTCTGGAAGAAAGGCAAACACAGCCCAGACAGGCGCATCAAACCATCAGAAAATGTATCTTCATGGGGGCTGTAACTGGAGACAAGACCACTAGCAACTCTTAGATGAGACAGTCAAAGTTCGTAGTGCTTCCGGTTCACCTCCGGCACACAAAATATAATGGCAACATACAAACCGTGTGAACTAGAGTAAGGATCATGCCAATGTGGTGAATTTACCCAGCTGATGTGGAAATAAGTATTACAATGTTCTCTGAATTGTTGGCAAATAATTCCTCAGGGAACTTCTTCACCAACAAACCTACACTACTTTGATTTCCTCACTGCAGAAATCTCAATTTATCTTCTCACAGATTTCAGAAAAGAAAAAAAAACACAAATCAATCAACAGAAGAAAAATCAAGTCCCTTTAGTATTTCATTTGTAATTTCAATCGTAAATTTCTTGCAAGTCACATGAACCTTTTAAATCTGTTCTTCCCTGAAATGCAGACAACTTAAGTTCTAAAAGTAATTATAACAAATAAAGTTACCTAGTAAAATCCTTGTCTACTTCATATTCATATTTCATCCATGTGTCCCGGTACACCATGAATTCCATTATAGTCAGGAAAGCTATTGTTGTAAATGCTATCAGAGAAACTGGTCAGATGAAAAAAAAAAGTAGAATTTTAGATTGCGAGAAATATTATCCAGAAACAAGCAGGAAAAAAAATTCTAACATCCCAGAAATTGAGCATGACCAGTACAATACTGGCATCTTTGATTCAGAAATCCAAAAGCTGCTCTTAGAAATTTGTTTTCATATCTACTGTATTTGTACACACAGGAGTGGAAAAGAACCAGTCATACCTTTGCATCAAGAAAGTACTTTTTAAGTACAATCAAACTCTAGAATGATGAGGAGGTTGTGAAATTCCTAATATGGAAGATTTAGGAACAGGCTATATCCTCCTCCACATATAAAAAGCCCACAAATCGCTGTCAGGAATGGTCTAGGCAAATTCATTCCTAAATTCAATCATGCAAGAAGAAGGTAGAGCACCTTGAAATTCCTTCAAGTCTCCCCCTGTCTACAACTTAAGTTTTTACAATAATTTTTTTTATATCAAGTTTGAGAGTCAAGAAGCTAGCAGACAAGAGAAATAACATGCATATTACTTATGTATAGATGCACAGTCAGGATTTCCAAATATTTCAAACTATTCTCTCTCTGGTGATCAGCAACACGTAGCTATCCAATTGTACCAACGGCTAAATAAGTGAAGAACTGACTTGAAATTGTTTTTAGGATGAAAACTAATTGGTTTATTTTAGTGGTATATGTGCCTCACTTATCTCCAAAGTAGCCTGTTCATCACACTTGCAAAGCTGAACAATGCAAAGGGAAGATCTTCCTGCTGAATGCAGTCAGAAACACAGTAACAGATACCCAAAAGCACCTGCTATGCCCCTTTTATTAAATCATGGCTTTTGTTAAGTTGAAAAAGCTTCAATTATGGAGCATGGTAGCAATTTGTAGAGCTTATTGACACTGATTACATTTTTCATTTGCATTCTGTGGAGCATTTCTACGGAGTCTGCAAAGGGCAACTTGAGGAAAAACAAGTCCATTGTTGACAGGCTTCAGCTCACTACACAGTGGTCCACAGGCCAGAGGTGGGAGCAGGGGAATAAAGGCACTGTCCTTCAGGATCAGGAAAGAAACCATTGACTTGCATTGATCAGCAACATTTCCAGTTCTACCTTTCAGCTGGCACTATGTAACAATCACATATATGAAACCTTTCACATCAATGTGAAGTGTGAAAGCAGATGCACTAATCATTTATTCTGGTTATCAATATCCTTTTGGAGACCAGTAGGCCAGACTCACCCCAGCTAGGCAATAGGAAAGCTGGAGCCATACTGACTACCCAAAGCCACATATAAATAATTAGAGCCATTGTTGCTTTCTGGGTAATTCTGCATGAAGGTATCTGTGGATCTGAACAGGAAAATAAAGTCTTGTAGAATTTCCAAAGGCAGATCCTCTTGTCTCAAGGGTCTCCCAGCCCAAGAGCTGGAGTCTCAGCCTCTTTGAGAGACTGGTACTTCTTTTGCAATGGGTTTAAAGGCACTGAAATTCTAAGAGTCCTGGTATGTTTTGGATCCCTATCACACCAGAAAGTAAGCCTGGCATTTCAATCCTGAATGAACTAGGAATACCATTTCAGATTTCATAATGGCACAGAATAAGACAATCCTATATTGTCATTTATAAGGTTACTGGGACAAAACCAAAGAATGCTAAAGTAATTTCTGATGTTGAGAAATCCTTAAGGCACCCTTCACCAAAGTGAAGTTATCATGAAGGTGCTATACTACAAAAAAAGACCTTTTAAAGCATTTATTGTTTTTCTGCAAATTACAACATAGAAACAACTCACTTGCTTTCTCGGGAACTGAGACATTAACAAGGAGTTATTTAATCACTTCTTAAGGGATTATTTTATATGCAATAATCCTTTAATCATTAGCAGTGCAATTCAGGAAATGTAGCAAAGTAATACAGATCCTTGTGATACTTACTTCTACACTACAAGTGCTGTAAACAACTTCAAAGGCTTTGAACTTTTTACTCAACTGAGTTTCAGACATAATCACACAAGACAGAGATTTGTGTCCTCCATTTCAGACTAAGTGCCAGCAGTTTCCTGTCTAACTGCAAATAATTCCAAGAGTCCAATAGTCCTTATTTCCAGATAAGGCTACCTCTCACTCAGCTTAACTTAAAAGCACAATTTTATGATCAGATACATAAAGAAAAGGTAGTTTTTACAGCTACAGCTTTTTCAGAGAAGTAGGAGTCACTAGCAAGGACAGTACAAGCACATGTCCTGAAGTAAAGTGTTTAGTTCTTCAAAGGGCTTTCTTTACTCTTAAAATCAACTACACCTTCAAGAAAAAAGCTTTAGAAAGCTGCTCTTCATCCTGATGCTCAACTAATCTGCCTCTCGAGAATGTTTTTCCTCTTTTACAAAAGCAGTGTTGAATCCCACCGTCATTTCAGTTCATGCTGTGTCTCACCCAGAAACCTGACACCAAGAAATGGGCTTAGTGAGATAACAAATAAGAACGTTTTATGACAGCCTTGGCACAATGCACTTCCAGTTGTAATTGGGTAGAAGTTTTAACAGTGAACCTTCACATTGGATTGACTCTCACCAGCTTTATACAAAAATCTTCCTTCAGATGAGTGATGGATGCATCTTTCTGGATAAGATATTATGTATTTACTTGAAGAGGATGAGTTCAGATAGTCCAACAAAGAAATCAAAACCCAATTTTGGTTCGTTTCAAGTGAACACAGATGCCTGTCTTCCTCCTCTTGAAGCTGCTATCAATGTCAGCATCTAAACAAGGCCTACCTGTGCCTCCACTCGCTGAAGTCTCCACATAGCTTTCAGGAACCTTTGGAAAGGCATCCAGTTCTTTCATCAAATTCAAGGTCTTCTTGCGATTCAGTCGCCTCATCTTCAGCACGCTCCTCCACCTCCTCCTTCATATATTCCCTCTGATTTGAGAATAAATTGTTGTGATTAAAAAGACACAAGCAATACTGTTCAAACTGACTGGCTGTAACTATAAAGCAATAATAAGGCAATTAAAACCTCATAAATATGTTTTCAAGAAACACATACTAGGCAACTGGAAGGTCACTCTTGCTTCAAGAAAATTGTTAAAGTTGGCCTGAACACTGCTGCTTACACTCCAGCCACATCCAGCACATTCACCATTTAATTACTATGATTAATTTCTTTCTCAATGAAGTTCTGATTGGTATTGAATATACTGCATTTTAAATTAATTAAGAAAAAAATGTAAAAACCCATCCTCTAACTCAGTCCTGAAGTAAGCTTGCTAAACAGACATGACAGTGCATGGAGGTCACTGACTTAGCAGGGAATATCTAATAGGCTGCATAAACTTGGGAGGATGTCAGTCTGCTCTGGGCCTCTACATTCAGCCAATTCAGGATAAAATATATTCTAAAGGAAAAAAAAAAGTGTATTTTGCATTTTTACAGTTGTAGAATATTATTATCATCACAAAATGAGCAATTTTTTTTTCTCTATAAAAATACCTCCCAAAGCAAGTTATGTATCAAATCCTAACTCAATCCTTCATAATCATTTCTGTCCATGACATGATCTCTGCTCTCTATGGAGTCATGTTAAGCAGCAGGATGTCAAGAGAAGCAGCCTGCCCAGGAAAGAGTGTCTTCAACTGTTTCCAAATCATGCAAATACGCTCACAACCTGATCCTGCCAATATGCTGCATGTTTTAACAAGTTGACACTGTTGTTTTCCTTCTGAGGAACTGCTGCGCTTCACCAGAATTTCTGAAGCTATGAAAACCATCGTGCAAAGCTTTAGTGGAAATGGAAGTTCACACACAAAGAATGACCATCTATGCCTGCAGCTTTCTCACTATACAAACTGACTTCAGACAGAGACTCTGCACTTGGTCAAGCTGCAGAAATCAATAAAATGGTTCTGTGTGTGTGCTGCAGAAGATTCAAAGAAACACAGTTTCTGGAATGGGCAGAGAAGATAGATGCTGGAACAGGCTTTTGGTTATACAGCATAAAAAACCCCCAAAACTTCAGAGAAGCAGGGTTCTGTCCTTACTACACCACATAATTGTGTTTTAAAGAATTATCTGAACTCACGCAGATTAGCTTAAGGAAAAGCTGGAAAACTCCGGAGCACAGATATGGCAAAGCAGCTGCTTGAACTCAAGTGGAGCCATAACATTCCTTAGCACAGAGGAAACACGGGCCAGGGTTGCCTGCTATCCTTCACAGAGAGGCACTGAAGCCAACTTAGCACCATTTCATTTTCCCCATCTCTTCCCTCCTATCACATGTGTAAACACAAATAAACGTGTGATAGCACACCGTAAGGAGGCATAAGATAAATACAGGAAATTTGTGAGCACTTTACTAGGAAACTTTCTAAATCATCTTTCATCAGTAAGTACGTGGATTTTTGTAATCCAGCTAGAAATATCCAATCTGTTCATCGGTTTCTTTAATTCCATACAACATACAGACTCACTTTCCGTTACAAACCCAGACGGACACCTGATCCCTTTCCTCTGCCCATCTCAACACACACACCGCAGAAACACCAAGTACTAAATTTGGAATGCTGTAAGAGTGAGATATTACGAACCCAAGAGACAACTGCGTTTAAAAAACGTTGTTATTATCATTAGCTAAAAAAAAAGACAAAGCACAGCACGAATGCCACTCGAGACCAGAGGGCCCGCTCAAAGCCCCAGCTGCGCGAGGGGCTGGGGCAGCGCCCGCTTACCCGGACACCTCGGTAGTGGAGCCGCCAGCGGGGAGTCCGAACACCCCCTCCCACGGGCGCGGAGCGGCCCCACGCCCGAACCCCCTCCCAGGGGCTCGACCCCAGCCGCCCACGCCGCAGGAGGGCCCGGCCGCCAGCCCGGAGCCCATGCGGCCGTGCGGGCCACGGGAGCTCGGGGCCGCCGCCAGGCATCGGGAGCCGCGGCACGGGACGGGACAGGCCGCGCCCCCGCCCTCCCCTCGCCCCCCCTACCTCTCGGTTCTGCCGCCGCTGCCCAGCGCCGCGGGCGAAGCCGCTCGGGGCGGCCGAGGAGGCTCGGGGCGCTGCTCGGCGGGCGCCGCGCTGGGCATGGCCCCGCCGGCGGGGCGGGCTCGCTCCGCCGCTGCACCCGCCGCCACCGCGGCCCCACGGGAGCGCCGCGCGCCCCGCCCGCCCCTGCGCGCATGCGCCGAGCGCCGCGGGCATGCGCCGGCCCGGGCGCTGGGATGGCGGAGCTGGCGGGCGGGAAGGGGTGAGGGCTTCCCACGGAAACAGCGGGTGATGTTCCCAGCCCACGGAGCGGCGGCTGTCGCCAGGCCCCCGCGCTGCCGGTCCCAGCTCGGAGAGCGGAGCACTCCAGAGCCGCAGGAAAATCCGCAGCCCGCGGGAAATACGGCCCCGCTCCGGAGTATTTGGGGAGCGGCGAGGCACTGAGTGATCGTTTAAAGCGATGTGTATCGAGCACCTTCCGAAGCAAACTGAAAAAAAAGCATCATAACGTGGCCTGCAGGGATGATGCTGTTTCGAGCACTATGGATATAGAAGCAGGCAGTGTTTGAAGAGAGGCTGTAACTTGGGTTAACCACGAAGGAAAAGGATTTAGGACAGTGGGCTATAATACTGGGGAAGGGAGGATATGAAGCTCACAAGCCAGTCTACAGACTTTAAGTGAAAATGAGTAAGAAGGCTCATATATACCTAAATTCTCTGTTCTTTTCTCTGCGCTGGTGGAGTTATTAAAAAGGCACTGCCTCACTACAAGCCTTACCCCTTAGTAACAACATTAGTCTCCAAATTTTTCCTTACAATTCCAGCAACTCTCATTCTCTATGCCAGAGTCTCCTGCAGTCTTTCCAACTGTGCTGCTGCCAAAACAGACTTACAAAGTCGATTATCATGGGGTTCCATTATGCTACTGCCACCCTGCTTGCAAGTAGCTGATCCAACATAGACATTATCTTACAGTCAAAAAGGGAGCTCTCCAGTATCTTCTGGGAAGTACTAACATTTTAGGTGACATCAAAATGATTCAACAAAAGTTGCTCCATGTAAGATTTAACAACAACAAAAAAAATTATACCGAACATTTTTATTCATAGATCAGAAAGAAGAGAGACTGAAGACTCCAGTATTTTTCATAATGAGGCAAGCAAATAGAACCCTCACCCCAGAAATAGATAGTGATGAATTCCACAGCATTAATTCAGATTTTTCTCTTTTTAATGGTTTAGAGGAAAATGTAGATCCATAGAAAAAGAGTTTCAGGTAGCATGCCAAACTATACACCATTTGAATTAAACAATTGTTTGTATATCTACAGCATCTGAGAATAAAAGAAACCTGAAAATGAGAAAGCAGTAGGAACAAATTCAAAGAGTATTTTTTGCTTTTTAGGGATGGTAGATAGTGGGTTTCAAGGAAGGAAAGATACAGCAACATGCCAATGTTCTCACTGAATTCTGATCAGTCTGTTTCCAGCATTTTAGCATCTATAATAACTGGATCAGACAGAAAGAAAAAGGCGGTGGGAGGATGATACTACAAGAGACAAATAACCAGGCTAAAAATATGTTTCTCTGTACATTTGCTCCCTCATCTCAGAAAGAGCAGGCAGCTTTAGCTGCAGCACATAAAGCTCTTATGCTGACATGCCAGTGGACCAGGCTGCAATTCAGCAGCCAGGGATTTTGCTAGCTAAGCCCTGTTTTCCCTTGAAATGCTCTCAGTGCTGAGTCCTGGAAGGAGAAACTGATAGATCTGATTATTAGCTGTGCAGCAGAGATGCTCAACAGATGTTTTCACGGGCTATGAGCTAAAGCAATCCAGTCTGCTCAGACAAACAGGGGCTCAGCACATGGAGATGGCTCTTAGAGAGAAGCAGCACGGGACAGAACTGCTTGCAGCTTTGCACCATTATAGTCATATTTGTAACTACAGATGTCTCCATGGGATTTTATGAGGGAAAACACAGGAAACATTTTTCAGAATTTAAGAAAAACAGAGAAAACTTATGTAGTGTCCATTACACTAACAGTATATATTTGACTGTGCAGTGCTAAAGCAACATAACAGTGACTGTACTCCACCTGTCAAGTACCAGACTACTCTAATGCCTTTCCTTATGCCTCTGCGTGCCTGTTTTCTGCTCTTCTGGTCACACCTCAGTGGTGGCAGCCTGTAAGCATATGCCAAATTGCATTCAGGAGCCTGACGAGGAGGAAGAAACCCAGCTGCCAGCAGCAAGCCATGCAGGTGAGCCCAGGGGCTTTACGCACTTTGTTTCAGTAATAAGATCCCAAAGCACCCCGAGACTTGAATGTGGTAATCTATGAAAAAATGCAATTGCCTTCCTAAAAACCCCAACGCTTCTGGTAATTTATGAAGTCCCTTGATGTGTGCAGAGAGGAAACCTCATGTCTCATATCCATCCTGTTGACCAAACCACAAAGCAAGTAAGACAGAAAAAAAATCTCCCGAGAATGTTGGGCTATAAAGGACATCGATATCAAAGACAATAACAAAGACGATGGTAGTAGACCAAACAAGATAAGTAAAAGTAAACACGCACAGATGCCGCCCACCTGCACTTCAACACACTTCGGCGTTAGTTAAAACGCTGGAAACCGTATGCAAGGCACACAAAACTAAAAACTTGGATAAAGAACGTTGAGGCTCAACCCAAGCCCCCATCGTTTGCTACTGCTACTGTCTCCTGCACAGGTGGTTCGCGATAGCTGAAAAAGCACTTTGTTAGCGCGAAAGCGCGAGGGAAAGGCGAGAAGCAGGAGCGGGGATCGGCCGGGAGCGCCTAGAGGGGTGAGGCGAGACGGGTTGAGAGAGCAGCCGCTTTACCTCGTGGAGGCATCGAGGTGGCATTTAGGGAGGAGAGGAGGAAATACAGGTGCAGACGAGCAAATATGGAGATGAGGGGTGGGAGTGGTTGGAAAGGGGGCGGAGGGGGTATAAAATCAGTCCCGGGGGTGAGGGGTGGTAGGACGGGAAGGGGTAAAGGTGTGTGGCTGTGATGTCTGTGAGGGCTGGGAAGGGAGGCGGTGAGGGACAGCGGTCCGGCGCCATGGAGCGGGATGGGGCGGGAGCGCCCTCGGCCAATGAGGGGCAACCACGCTCCAGGAACCGGGAGGAGGCGGTGGGAAGGGCGCTGTCCCCTGACCCGGGGCCGCGGTCTAGCTGCCCGCCGTGCCGCCTGCGGAGGGGCCGGGGAGCCTTATCTCCGCGCTGCCGGAGCCGCCGAGCCCTGTCCCGGGGCCGGGCTGGAGGTGCCGTCCCTCCGTGAGGGGAGCGGCGGGCGCGGTGCGGTAACGCAGGCGGGCACTGCCGTGGTGTTTATTGACGGACTTCCATTTTCCTGGCCCGTCTGTACCGGGATTCAGTAAAGACGAGCTGTTGATGAAAAGAAGCCGTGATCTCCCTGTTCTCTCACGTCAGTTTTCCAACTCGGCCCCACTTCTGGTCTTTTGAGAGATCCTTTTTTAAATTATCTTAGTGAAGATTTCTTGTCATGGGGTCTCAAAAAGTTGAGCAATCCAGTTCACTGAAAGAAGGATGATGTTAAAGCTACTACTGAGGCTATCTCAAGCAATCCTATTTAACATTAGTACATCATGTAGACGGAATGGCTTTGTTCTGCATAATTAATACTCTTCATACGTAATTATTTACCATTAAAATCTCTTTTTTTAAGATAGGTTCATCCTAATTCTTATTTTTAATATTTTTGTGACTTAGCTAACGTTTCAGATGCAATTTATACAGCTGTTTCGTGAAGCTCATGAGGAGCTCACAGGGGAGCAGGGATAAGTCCTAAGCACTTCGGTGAGGTACTGTGCAAGCTGTAGTTTAAAAATGTTACTGTAATCTCCCTGTTGGTTTTTTTTTTTTTCTTTTCCTAAAAGTTTAAATTGTTCGGTGTAGACAGATAGTGGACTCCAAGTTGTGTCTTTCATTCAGCAGAGATTTGCTGTATATTATTGATAGACTGTGTGGTGTCCGTGGGGAGGAACGGAACATCAGTCACTGAACTGAATTCCTGTCTAGATTACAAATGTCAGGTTAGTAATAAATCCTGCTCTTTCACCACTTGGCTATTTTTAGTAATTAGACAGTGATTGCAAAACAGAAATATTTTTATAATTTATAAAGTTACATAAAAACACTAATCCTTTTGCATAATGTTCTTGAATTGTCTAAACATAGCCCAAGGCCAAATCAGGAAACAAAGACACACTAGTGTATTTTGTGACCTTCAGTATTTCTTTGATTTTAATGTTCTGGTTACCATTCTTTGGCACACAGTTTTCCTAAAAAAGCACGTAACCACTAACGAATAGGTTTCTCAAAGCTTCTCTGAAGTTGTATTCACAAATACACTATTTTTTACTCACCTGCTACAAGTTTGCTTTGTTCCAGCATAAAAGTTAGTCTTGAAAAGTATTGCTAGTCTTAAAAACCTGGATGGTAGGAAGTATGTGGCCTTCTGCCAGCCTACCTGGTTGAGAATGGAGTTAGATGGCATAGTGGAGGGACAAGAACAATTTGCCTTCATAGAGGAAAAGACATTGCTATTTGTTAACTGCATAAAAGACACTAAAGTCTTTCTGAGGTTTTCTGAGAGATCTGGTAAGTCATACAGGAGCTGATACTAGGTATTCATAAATAATAAGTTTGACATTGTGTTACTAGTATTTCATCAAAACTTTTGAAGTCATTGTGCCCCTTGTGGTGTTATAATTATACTAGTAGTATGTGTGTAAGTTGATACTTAATCAGCAGGAATCATCAGATTTCTCCAGACTTGTAAACTTTGTGGTGTAGATAAGTTGTTTGGGTTCTGTAAGAAATAACTTCTGTGAGTTTTCTTGAAAATTATTCTCTTACAGTCCTGTCAGGCCAAACAGGTTTAAGGAATTCTTCGAAAATTGCTAGAAAGGTTTTACTTTTGTATTGGTGAGGGGGTTAATTTATTTATTAATTATTAATTAATAATTAATTTATTATTAATTTATTTATTTTACCATGCCTGTTGCTTTCTGTAACAATTTGAATATGCTTGATGAGAGCTGAACCTTGCAAAAATAAGAACCGGTAATTAAG